ATATAAAAGTAAAATGGTTAGGGGGGGGGGCCTGTGGGGGGACATTAGAGTGTAAGCTCCTCTGTACAAAGACTGATGTGACTGGCTCAGTGCTCCCTGAGGTATAATCTGTGTGTAGTCATGGATGTAACGTAATAGAGGAATAGACCACAAGGCAGCGAGAACAATGATGAAACATAACGGAGACTGCAGTATTTATATTCAACACAAGGTGGTGATCTCACGTGGAAGACACCTACAGGAAGTGATGTAAGGTACAGACAGGAAGAGATACAAGGTACAAGGTACCATGTGACTGTTTTAATGCTAAAAGACAGCTCAGGAGGATTCTGGGAAGTCTGTATTGATTCAAACAGGATTACGGACTAGTGACCAATGTATCTTGTGAGCCATTAACGCTCGGCAAGTATCTTCAGCAGACATCACCCATCACAGAGCCTCCACCTCACCGCCTGACAACAGAGGCAAACCGTGATAAAATATTCTAGAAGTTTCCAGTATCTAGAAGGACACCGGGATCTCTACAAGGACGTCGTGATGGAGAATGAGCCGCCCCTCACATCACCGGGTAAGAGGAGAGAGCAGTACAGAGGGTCCACCTAGATCCCCCATCATCTGATACACACATAGAAACAATGTATTCAGTCAGTGTGTGTGTTTCCTACAGATGGATCCAGTAAGAGGAACCCACCAGAGAGATGTCCCCGCCCTCTGTATTCCCGGGATTCCACACAGGAAGATCACAACATCTCACATAAGGTGAAATAGAGAAATAATAGTGGATAGATTTTGGCACGTCCCGAATCGTTGTTTTATTTCATCTGGTCTCATTGTTCTCAATATTCAGGGTATACACCAGAGTGAGTGTGATAATGATGTTAAAGAAGAGATAAAAGAGGAGAAGATCATGATGGAAACATTCAGTGACACAAACCCACCAGAGAGATGTCCCCGTCCTCTGTATTCCTGGGATTCCACACAGGAAGATCTCACCATCCCCCACCATGATCAGGTAGGTGGGACTCGCTATGTATAAACACAGAACTGATTCTGAACTTTGTGACGCAACATTCTTTTATGTAGTCCATTAGTTTCATGTTTGCTGTACATCTAAAATGCAGCCCCGTCTTCATTTCATCTTCCCCTTGGAGAACCTCCCACAATTTTTTTGTTTTCTATAAATCAATAAACATACTTTTCTTCCACGGGTCTTGGGCCCAGTCACATGACATCATGGATCCTCTTCGTCCTTGTGTCCTCCAAAGGGCACATACTAAACGACATTGTGCTGTCGTTTGCTTCTGTGAGTCTAGGCCGGTGTGATGATGGGCCTCCAAGGTTAAGGTCCCTGGCCCCCCAGGCTCATGGAAAATGGGTAGAAGACCTGCCCTGAAATGACTTTTTTGTGCTGCCGGTCAGTAACACCTGCTGGTTTTGTCCCTTCCCCAGTCTTTGACTGGACAGTAAAATGAGAAGCACCAGATTGATGAGCTCATCTTTCTGACACTTCGCTCTCTCTTTCAGTCAGCATGACCCTTATTAGCCCTGCAGTGCAGCTGACTGGCTCCTTGTGCTGCTTCTCCTTCCCCATGTCTGTTATACGGAGACTACAGGAGGCCGATACCAAGTCACATTCAGGTACTTACACTCGAAACACATTTAATGATGTCATAATGAATGAAGAGCTGCATTCTTTTGGGTTTAGGGTGAAGAACGGAACAATATAAAAGTTGAGGTGAAAGAGGAAGAAGTGGAGACGTATGTGGGGGGTGACCGGCCGTCCACGGAGGAGGTCGGGATGATGATGAAAAGTGATCAGGACGACATTTCTCTACCGATCAACACAAGTAAGTAACAGAGACTATGGAGGGAACAGGTCACAGTTCTATGTCACTTCTGAGTATCTCCATTCCTCAACATAACGTCATGTCCCCAACAAATGAGGAGATACTGTACACCATATGAAGGTCCATCTCCATTCCTCAATATAACGTCATGTGACCAACAAATGAGGAGGAGATACTGTACACCAGGGCTCAAAATTTCAAGTCCTGAGCTACTAACCAGGCCTTAAGAGACACTAGCCACCAGTTGCCCCACCTAACCTTTACCCTGCCCCGGCCTTAACTCCGCCCCTAAACACACCCTCTTAAATAATCTTATGATAATTCTTATCTTATGATAATTGCCGCTTGTAAATGGCAGATTAGGGATTCCGGCTGCAGGAAAACGCAAGTTCCTGATACAGGAATCTCTAATCACACCTGAAATATACTGTAGGTGTGAATGGGGCCTAATATACACGATTTTTGTCGGGTTGGTGGCGTGGTCGGTAGACGAATTCCGCACGGGCCGGTGTGCGCAAGCGCACACTGCCCGCTCGGCACTGCAATCATCGGAAGCCCTCCCCTCAGCGGGGTCCAAGATGGGCAGATGGTACGAAACTTTAATGACCTTACAACCATCGCACAACGATAGTCCTGCGATGGTTGTAAGGTATATGGGCAGCTTAAAGCACAATAATACACTTCTCAACAATGTTACAACTCCCCCCGCCCCCCCTGCACAAATATAATAAGAAAAGTCCACCCGCACACAAAAATAATACACCCCCGTTATAAGCCCCCCACACACATAAAATAATATACTGCCCCCTTATTAACCCCACCCAAGCTGGCTGCGGGTCACATAGTACCGGAGACCCATGGTACTTGGAGACCCAAATTTCCACCCAAATTTTGAGCCCTGCTGTACACCATATGAAGGTCCATCTCCATTCCCCCCATAGCGGTCATGAATGAACAGTACAATGGTCTCCAGGGGGTCAGATGTGTTTTGTCTCCTTTATGTGGTTGGTTTTCATATTTTGGGGTTACAATTGGACCCAATTCCATGCCAGAGCTCTGTGATGACTTCTAGACCAACATACATGACTCTGATTAGTGACGTGTGTAATAATTTCTCTCCAGCAGATGGATGTGATGTCAGGAATACCTCGGAGAGACATCTTATATTATCTGCTGATTGTAAGTCAGAAGATAATGTCATCACACAGGATTCTCCAGGAGTGAATCCAAACACACAAAATATACATCACAGACCTCACTGTTCGGAGACATCAATGGATCCCTCTGATCAGGGTGAATCTTCTGATCATTCACATACTATGACTGGAAATATCCATCTAAGATCTCACACTGCAAGAGATCCATCTAATCCCAAGGAATCTTCCTCACCCCATGAAGGAGATCACAGAGGTGAGGATCCATTCTCATGTTCAGTATGTGGGAAATCTTTCACTGGGAAACATATCCTTGTTATACACCAGAGAATTCACACAGGTGAGCATCCTCATACATGTTCAGAGTGCGGGAAATCATTCACTAAGAAAGGAACCCTTGTTAATCACCAGAGAATTCACACAGGTGAGCGTCCTTATTCATGTTCAGAGTGCGAGCAATCTTTCACTGAGAAAGGATCCCTTGTTATACACCAGAGAACTCACACAGGTGAGCGTCCTTATTCATGTTCAGAGTGCGGGAAATCTTTCATTCAGAAAGGAACCCTTGTTATACACCAGAGAATTCACACAGGTGAGCGTCCTTATTCATGTTCAGAGTGCGGGAAATATTACTTTGGGAAACATACACTTCTTATACACCAGAGAAATCACACAGGTGAGCGTCCTTATTCATGTTCAGAGTGCGGGAAATCTTTCATTCAGAAAGGAACCCTTGTTAGACACCAGAGAAGTCACACGTTTGCGCGTCCTTATTCATGTACAGAGTGCGGGAAATCATTCACTGAGAAAGGATCCCTTGTTAGGCACCAGAGAAATCACACGTTTGCGCGTCCTCATTCATGTACAGAGTGCGGGAAATATTTCATTGATAAACAAAAATTTCTTAGACACCAGAGAAATCACACAGGTAAGCTCCCTTATTCATGTTCAGAGTGCGGGAAATCTTTCACTCATAAAGGAACCCTTGTTAGACACCAGAGAATTCACACAGGTGAGCGTCCTTATTCATGTTCAGAGTGCGGGAAATCTTTCACTCAGAAAGGACACCTTGTTAAACATAAGAAAATTCACACGGGTGAACGTCCTTATTCATGTTCAGAGTGCGTGAAATCCTTCCCTGAGAAAAATAAACTTCTTAGACACCAGAAAAGTCACACTACGCAGCGTCCTCACTGCATTCCGACTCGGGGAAATGTCTAATTAGACTTCGGTTATCTGTAACACATCAGAGAGGAAGTTCCTGCTGATTCTGATGACAAATGTACGATGGTTTTTATCAGGTGGAACTGTTTAGTCCATAGAACAACTGGAGGATATGAAAACACTCGGACTCATCACATGGGTGCAGAGGCCTGTACAGAGACATGAATGAGTTTATGCACTTGGGTGGCCCCCAGGAGTTTCCAGGTGCTTTCCTTCAGCCGCAGGCAGCAGCTTGTTGAAATTGTTAACTGGCTGACAGATGGATGGTGGGGGAGAGCTGTCAGAGAATGTAGTGTGGATGGTGGAGGAGAGCTGTCAGAGAATGTAGTGTAGATGGTGGAGGACAGCTTCAAGAGATCATGGTATGGATCGGGGAGGGGGAGCTGCTGTAGAATATATTGTGTGGATGGTGGGAGCTCCCAGGGAATGTAGTACAGACATGGGGGGAAATCAGTGACAACACAGGGGTGCAGACAGAAATGAGTGATGTTGAACTGCTGAGGGAACAAAGTGGGGGGGGTTAATGGAGACTCTGATGATAAAAGAACGTCTCTATCAGGGTGTGGCTACTTCAGAAGGAACGACTTTTCATTGTTGCATTGTAGAACTTTGGAAGAGACTGGATCTGATAAGATCGGCATTTCCTTTCCTATTACATTCATTCCTGGTGATAGTTTTCCGGCAGTATGAGGGAAAGTTACAATCTGTGGTATAAATGAGTCTCGTGTATATTGGGAAATATTTTGAAACATTGTCTAAAATGTATATATTTGAACAATTAATGTGTGTATTTTATAAACTTGTGAATCATTTTTTAATTGGCCTTTAAATTTTTTTGTGCTCTCCTAATTATAACCATTAAAACGTTGTCAAAGTGATGGCATTTTTTTCGCTCACGCGTTTTTATTTACAGAAACAGGCAAAGAAATTACACCGATACTCGAAATACACTTGAGATAACTACGGAGTGAGGCAACAAAGAGATCCAATAATGTGATGAAGTGCTACATCCCAAATACACACATTATGAGGGACCCGTACGTCCCCAAGTATACATGGGGCAATATAAGTGACACCTGAATCATAGCAAACTGCCCACGTCCACTAAGAGGCAGGCCAGGCAAGGAGCACTAAACCAAAACTAAGAAGAGAGAATAGGAAAATGTATCGGAGAAAAGGAGAATATGTGGAAAACCGAGAAGAAGCAAACTGAATAGAAGGAAGAGAGATAATAGGGGAGAGGGAGAGCCGCCTTCCACAGATGAGAGGGAAGGGGACAGAGGAAGCCAGGAACATGAAAGGTCCAGAACACATCCAAGGGGGGTAAACCCTCAAATAGGGAGATAGCACGCAGCACCAACCAGCCCAATACAGATCAGGAAACTAGAGAGTTCAGGAATCCATAATAAAGGAGGCTGGCAAGGAGGCGACAATCCAAGGAGTCCATGTCTTCTTATATATAGAGAAGCTTTATGTCTAGCAGTAAGCTTCTAATAGAACATGACAGGAGACACCAGAGCTTTCACACTGGCAGAGGGGAGAGACGGAGATTTCCAGGCCTAAGCCTGTCGTCTCCTGGCCGCTGTAAGTGTATGTGTTACCGGTCTATATTGGGTAAGTGTACAAACCTCAGGCATTGTATTCAGTATAGTCTCAAAGGGATCATTACAGAAGGAGGTGTAACATACTTACTTCTCCACCATCCGGTTCCGGGTTTGTAGGGAGGAAATTCCAAGTTGGAAAGACGTGAACAGAACCCCCCTCCCCCACATTCCTCCATCACTTCTGTCACTAACGTAAAACAAGATGGAGAATTCCGTAACTGACAGAAGGAGCTGAGGGGAGCCTCACAGCCAATCAGAGTCCCCGCTTCACATCTTCTCCACTGTTTACTCCCTCCACAGGAACCAATCACAGAGTGGGATCGGAGTCACCGGGCAGATTCTGCTCTCCACAGAGATTTACCTCAGATTTCACACCACCTCCACTGTCAATGGCTGCACTCCCTCCACAGTAACCTATCAGAGTGGGATTAGTCACCGGGCAGATTCTGCTCTCCACACACAAACATTATTACTATCCATTGATATATCACTAACATATATCACAGTGCTGTACAGAGGACACTGAGCCGATTACATCAGTCTCTGTACACAGGAGCTGACACTCTAATGTCCCCCCACAGTCACAGACTATCATTATACATGTATATAGCTCTGACATATACAGCAGCGCTGTCACTAAAATAATACTCCTTATACTTGTATTGAAGCTTTGTAAAATGAGTCTCCTCGGTGCTATTACAAGTTTGTAAACATTTATAACCATAGAGTTGGTTTATTATGTAGTTTCACCTTTTATACATTTTTCAAAAAAACCTATTACATTGTCATTTTTTTAATTTTATTTTGGTATTGTCTGGATTTGATGTGAGGTATAATCTGTGTGTAGTCATGGATGTAACGTAATAGAGGAATAGACCAGAAGGCAGCGAGCACAAAGACAGAGACTGAAGTATTTATATTCAACACAAGGTGGTGATCTCATGTGGAAGACAGAAGGAAGTGATGTAAGGTACAAACAGGAAGTGATGTAGGTGAAAACACAGGAAGTGCTGTAGGAGTGTAATGCGAGTTGGAAGAGAGGGGGGTATACAGAGAGGGAGGAGGGTATACAGACAGATATACAGAGAGAATATGAGGTAAAAGAAGATGGACAGAGGAAGGGAGAGGGAGACCTACAGTGAAAAACGTGTGATCAGCTTGCAGCCTCCTTCCCACCGTATAGCAGAGTTTCCCGGCTACTATTTCCTGCTTCCTGGTCACATGTTTCCTGTGACATCACAGGGCAATCTGCAGGTTAGGAACTAGCCGCTACCTTGGAAGCATGGGTACTGGGGACAGTGTCCATAATCTCAGAACTATCCCACAAAATCTGACACTGAGCAATTCAGCATTTGTCTACAGAGAGTCTTCTTTAGATCATGTGACTGTTCGATTTCTAAAAGACGAGTGCGGAGGATTCTGGGACGTCTTCATTGATAATTGTTACCTTCTTCCTTCAAACAGGATTACGGAATAGTGACCAATATATCTTGTGAGCCATTAACACTCAGCAAGTGTCTTCTGTAGACATCACCCATTACAGAGCCTCCACCTCACCGCCTGACAACAGAGGCAAACCGTGATAAAATATTCTAGAAGTTTCCAGTATCTAGAAGGACACCGGGATCTCTATAAGGACGTTGTGATGGAGAATGAGCCGCCCCTCACATCACTGGGTAAGAGGAGAGAGCAGTACGGAGGGTCCACCTAGATCCCCCATCATCTGATACACACATAGAAACAATGTATTCAGTCAGTGTGTGTGTTTCCTACAGATGGATCCAGTAAGAGGAACCCACCAGAGAGATGTCCCCGTCCTCTGTATTCCCGGGATTCCACCCAGAAAGATCACACCATCTCACATAAGGTTATATAGAAATAATAGATAATAGGAGATACTTTTTGACCTCTTCATTATCTATGTAGTTACATCTGATCTCATTGTTCTCAATATTCAGGGTATAAACCAGAGTGATTGTGATAATGATGTTAAAGATGAGATAAAAGAGGAGGAGAAGATTATGATGGAACCGTACAGTGACACAAACCCACCAGAGAGATGTCCCCGTCCTCTGTATTCCCGGGACTCCACACAGGAAGATCAGAACATCCCTCACCATGATCAGGTAAGTGGGACTCGGTGTGTAGAAAACAAGTGATTCTGAACTTTGTGACGCAACATTATTTTATGTAGTCCATTGGTTTCATGTTTGCTTTACTCCATTTCAACTTCCCCTTGGAGAACCTCCCACTTTTATTGCTTTCTATAAAGACTGGATCTATGTCTTTTATATGGAGACTACAGGAGGCCGATACCAAGTCACATTCAGGTACTTACACTATAAACACATTTAATGTTGTAATAATGAATGAAGAGCTGCATTCCTTTGGGTTTAGGGTGAAGAACGGAACAATATAAAATCTGAGGTTAAAGTGGAAGAAGTGGAGACGTATGTGGGGGGTGACCGGCCGTCCACGGAGGAGGTTGGGATGATGATGAAAAGTGATCAGGATGACATTTCTCTACCAATCAACACAAGTAAGTAACAGACACTATGGAGGGAACAGGTCACAGTTCTATGTCACTTCTGATTATCTCCATTCCTCATTATAACGTCATATCCCCAACAAATGAGGAGGAGATACTGTACACCATATGAAGGTCCATCTCCATTCCTCAATATAACGTCATGTGACCAACAAATGAGGAGGAGATACTGTACACCATATGAAGGTCCATCTCCATTCCCCCCATTGCGGTCATTAATGAACAGTACAATGGTCTACAGGCGGTCAGAGGTGTTTTGGGGGTTTTGTCTCTTTTATCTGGTTGGTTTTCATATTTTGGGGTTACAATTGGACCCAATTCCATGCCAGAGCTCTGTGATGACTTCTAGACCAACATACATGACTCTGATTACTGACGTGTGTAATGATGTTTTCTCTCCAGCAGATGGATGTGATGTCAGGAATACCTCGGAGAGACATCTTATATTATCTGCCGATTATAAGTCAGAAGATAATGTCATCACACAGGATTCTCCAGGAGTGAATCCACACTCACAAAATATACATCACAGACCTCACTGCTCGGAGACATCAATGGATCCCTCTGATCAGGGTGAATCTTCTGATCATTCACATCCTATGACTGGAAATATCCATCTAAGATCTCACACTGCAAGAGATCCATCTAATCCCAAGGAATCTTCCTCACCCCATGAAGGAGATCACAGAGGTGAGGATCTATTCTCATGTTCAGTATGTGGGAAATCTTTCACTGGGAAACATATCCTTCTTAGACACCAGAGAATTCACACAGGTGAACGTCCTCATTCATGTTCAGAGTGCGGGAAATCATTCACTCAGAAAGGAGCCCTTGTTAAACACCAGAGGACTCACACAGGTGAGCGTCCTTATTCATGTTCAGAGTGCGAGCAATCTTTCATTCTGAAAGCAACCCTTGTTAATCACCAGAGGACTCATACAGGTGAACGTCCCTATTCATGTTCAGAGTGTGGAAAAAATTACTTTGGGAAACATAAACTTCTTATACACCAGAGAAATCACACAGGTGAGCGCCCTTATTTATGTCCAGAGTGCGGGAAATCTTTCACTCATAAAGGAGCCCTTCTTCAGCACCAAAAAATTCACACAGGTGAGCGCCCTTATACATGTTCAGAGTGCGGGCAATCTTTCACTGAGAAAGGATCCCTTGTTAGGCACCAGAGGACTTACACGTTTGCGCGTCCATATTCATGTACAGAGTGCGGGAAAACTTTCACTAAGAACGGATCCCTTGTTATACACCAGAAAGTTCACACGGGTGAGCGTTCAGAGTGTGGGAAATATTTCATTGATAAGCAAAAACTTCTTGGACACCAGAGAAGTCACACAGGTGAGCTCCCTTATTTATGTCCAGAGTGTGGGAAATCTTTCATTGAGAAAGGAGCCCTTGTTAAACACCAGAGAATCCACACTGGTGAGCGTCCTTACTCATGTTCAGAGTGCGGGAAATCTTTCACTCATAGTTCAACCCTTAGTAAACATAAGAAAATTCACACTGGTGAGCGTCCTTACTCATGTTCGGAGTGCGGGAAATCCTTTCGTGAGAAATATCGGCTTCTTAGACACCAGAAAAGTCACACTACGGAGCGTCCTCACTGCATTCCGACTCGGGGAAATGTCTAATTAGACTTCGGTTATCTGTAACACATCAGAGAGGAAGTTCCTGCTGATTCTGATGACAAATGTACGATGGATTTTATCAGGTGGAACTGTTTAGTGCATAGAACAACTGGAGGATATGAAAACACTCGGACTCATCACATGGGTGCAGAGGCCTGTACAGAGACATGAATGAGTTTATGCACTTGGGTGGCCCCCAGGAGTTTCCAGGTGCTTTCCTTCAGCCGCAGGCAGCAGCTTGTTGAAATTGTTAACTGGCTGACAGATGGATGGTGGGGGAGAGATGTCAGAGAATGTAGTGTGGATGGTGGAGGAGAGCTGTCAGAGAATGTAGTGTGGATGGTGGGAGGAGAGCTGTCAGAGAATGTAGTGTGGATGGTGGGGGTGAGTTGTCAGAGAATGTAGAGTGGATGGTGGGAGAAGAGCTGTCAGAGAATGTAGTGTGGATGGTGGGGGGAGAGCTGTCAGAGAATGTAGTGTGGATGGTGGGAGGAGAGCTGTCAGAGAATGTAGTGTGGATGGTGGGAGGAGAGCTATCAGAGAATGTAGTGTGGATGGGGGGGGTGAGTTGTCAGAGAATATAGTGTGGATGGTGGGAGGAGAGCTGTCA